TGGTTTAGACCAAACAATTAGTCTACTAACTAATCCAATTGTATTTCGCAGACTTCATCCGCGTTGCCAATCGAAAACATAGATCGCTTAGTGGGCAGTTTGCGTGAATCCAACATCTCCACACAACAAAGAAATATGAAATAGAACGACTGCTCAAATGAAAGGAGAAAGTAAATCGCTTTCCTACAAATCTCGTCAACCGCTAGCGTTGTGCAATGTAGTTTAATGGTGTACTCGGGTTTGTTCGCGGATGTAATACGGGTGTTTTCGATTCAGAGGCTCCGACCAAAAAGCGGCTATTAATTGCCGATCAATGACTGAGTATTCGTTTTATGCAGTTTACCGCACAAACAAGCAGATAAGCGTGTCAGTGCTGCTGACACGAAAGTCTAGGATTCAGCAATACCAACAGAATGGCTTAGCAACTTTATTAATGCGTTTGCGTATTCAGAACTTCCAAGAAATACCAACATCATCATGTTTATCTAACACATAATAGGAAAAATGCCACTACTCATATGACACAGCAGATTTCTTACTCGCATATTGGCTGCACTCATTTTCTGATAGGGTAGACCGTTGGAGGGAACTCGTGGGGTGTTAGAAGTGCCATTCAGAATGCGACTGTCCTCATGGACGCTTAGTAAATCGATGGGTGACAGCAGGCCTACATTGGACGGCGGAGACGAAGTGAATTTGGGGAACTGTATCTGTGAAACAAGCTGCGTGAATTCCAACTCCAATCCAGTTGACATTTTTGCTTTATTCGCAGTCACGTTACTGACTCCATCCGATTTAGTTAGACGAGACCAGTGGGCCGCCAGCTGACGGACTGTTACCTCTGTGTTTCCGCTTGAAGCGGCCTCCACCAGGGCATCGTATACAAACGCGTATTGATCCTCAGTCTGAACCATGAAGTTTCGCTGAGAGCGTAGTCGACTCACTGCCCCATGCACGTCTACCGCCTTTTCATGTTTCATTTGTTCAAGAATAATATCCAGAAGAATGAAAGCACCTGAAATTGAGTAGGTGCAGCAATCCAAATGTGAATCGCAGTGAAGCAATTGGTTAAAGGTATATAGAGCACGCACAGTTTACCGTTATATCAGGCAAGCGTAGAGTTAGACAATGGTAACTGAAAGCCGCGTAACCTGGTGGCACTACAAGTACATGAGACATTTTCAGACACGGCCACTTGCCAGTCGCTGTGCTGAAGCCGGCCTGTAACCATACGATGCGTAAAACATCGACCGGCCATCTGGCACAGAAATCCATCCACAAGGGAATGGAACAAAGTGCTCAACGTAAGACGTAGTCAAAATACGGTTGCTTTTATTCATAAGCTTTACATGGTGAAGGTTCAAAAAAGGAAAAAAAGAATCATATTAAGGAGGTGGTCAACTTCGGAGGTTTTACTCTGCACTCCCTTTCTTGGCACATCTTATTGTAAACAATCAGATGGATGAAAGCCAGAGCTGTTTCGAGACGGTAAAGATTGATTTTGGTTGCTCTTGAGAGATGTGAGCTTTTGCATATCAGCGTTTGCTTGGCTAATTCCATTCGAAAGGAAAACACGGAAAGCGACACCTACCGGTTCGCCCAACACCGGCAGAGCAATGCACGATGATTGGTCCTGCGTCTGGTGGACATTCGGCCCGCACCCGTCGTAGGAACATTAAAAGCGGTGCAGGGTGGTTTGGAACGCCATGGTCTGGCCATGCGGTGAACTGCATTTGGCGAACCTCACGACGCTCCAAAGATCTGTTGAAGGAAGACGAGGGAGAAGATAGTCCGTAGGACCAGTTACTTACTCATTTGAACATGAAAATACTAACCATTTTTGGAAAAGTGATGACGTTAATGATTGCCTTCGAATATAACTCGTATTAGTAAAGCCATACAATTAAGTTGTTTCACCAATACCCGTTGTTTAACGACGTTTTACTATGAGTAAATCACTATCACTCACCCATTTTTGGACAACAAAAATGTCCGTATGGTATAGTATGCCAGCTTCATCACATCTAGCACACCGACTGTTATGTCTCCATATTTGGCTTCACCTAGCAATCCAGTACCGGATCCAATCCAAGGACATGCATCGCCTCTGTTCCCTCCACCGTCATCAGGTAATTCCTGATATGACATACTATGTGCGAGCACCATGCTGCTGTCCTGGAATTCATTGTGCATCTTGAAACCATTGAGCTTACCCGCAGCTGACGACGTGGTGTGATCAGGCTGCAGATACAAATGTCTCCTGTTCACCGACTTAGAGCAAGTGAATGGATTAGGTGTTGTTGTTATGACCGTCTTCGTTGAGGAATTCGTGGGCCAATATTGTTCACACTTCACTCGGGCACGTTCCTCCAATCGTGTCATTGATACAATCATTGCAGATCGCTGATCCCATACCATTCGCCAGAAGTCCGCAATAGTGTGAGGTAATGGGCCCTGTTGGTGAAGAGGTGAAATGTAAATCTGTCATAGTGAAATGGGTGGTTAATTATATGCGCATTTGATCATCAATGGGTGGGGTCAGAGCGCTCATATTCAGTTTCATTACCTTAACATGTGTGATTTCAACAAATATTGCGAATAGTTAAGACGTGGACGCCATATACATTTTAATTTCACGAGGTATCTTTAAAAAGCCACGATGGAGATGTATTTTAACCACGTGTGTACAGATAATGCTTTGTGGCACCTGGATTAAGCGAAACTTGATCATCAGCCTAGTGAGTCGAGTGCGAAGTATACACTCAAAGAGTACTCTTTCCGAAGAGTTATAGCCCATAGGTTCGACGCTGAACTAGAATGACTATCCAAAGAGTTACACTAATGCCAAAATGAAGGGAAAAATGGAGGCACCTACAGTCCTAACGGTTCAACGGGAACCTATATTTCCGCAACTGCCTTACAAAGGGAAAATCGTGGCATAGGTTCTATCCCGCCGTCTTTCACACACACTCAGAAGTGCAATCCGATCGGCGATGCATTAACTCGGGCTCATTGGCAAAACTATGGGGAAATTAATCTAAAAGATAAACTGCCTGTCCACAGCAAATCTATGTGTGTTTACTCACTCACCTGTTCCTGTGGAGCAGGATAGGAACACAATTATTTGGAACATTGTCAGCTCAGGAGTCTCTTTCAGGTCTTGTGGTGTTCGGCGATATAAGCAAAAGACTTACAGATATTTCGTCATCATTCGGGGTGATATCAACAGATAGCATTGATAGCAGTCACGTGTCAAGATTTGGTTTGCCTTCTAGCAGCTCCTGCTACCTGACCGGTAACAATCCTACACTGGTGATTCCAAAGCGAATGTGACGAAACGTCTGTCATTAAGTTGCCTAGCTTTGCAAGCACAACAACAACTGAGCAGGGTGCGTTGGTCGTACGAAAAGGCGCTTTCTGAAAAAGTGAAGTTAGACGATCCGGTCTGATTGGGAAATGGAGGTCGGAAGTCACCTACTCTGTAATCGCCGCGCATCATGCGAATCTGGGGCAAGCCACGACGTCGGCTGTTTTCTTAAAAGCAATATATCAAGCACTAGAACATCGATGAAACTGTTCCGTAAGCGGACATTAGACGCCGCAGAAGCCATCGCAATTCGGTTGTACGAACCATATATGATTGCTCAATATTTATCACGTCTCGTGATAGAAGGTTGGGACCAAGTCGAATTTCGCAATTCCTTATTGGCAAATCTGTTGAAATTGTATGAAGCTCATTGGTTGGACCATACAATCCGCTCAGTCTTACCTGGCTACTTGAAATGTCTTTCATGTGCTGCACCCCACGTCTTGATAGGTGCGGGTGGTTGTAGAGGATAGGGCAGAGGGTATTCGAAAAGTAACCATAGACTTGAGTTCAGATGGTGCTTTCGCCTTCCCGATTGAAACTCTCGGGACCGCCAATATTGTTGAGTAGATATTAGTCGGAGATAGAGCTTTGGCATTCTTCCACTTACACATTATTCTAATCACTCCTTTTCAATTTTCCATTGAAGAATAAATGTTGTTCTGTTCAACTTGTGACAAGGGTCATGGCAATTGGATCCACCAAATTAAAATGCCAGACAGAGAAGATTTTGCTTCAATGTACCATATAAACGCTTTGACTTAATGCCCAAAATTTACCTCTATGAAAGCATATGTACTGTCCACCTCGTGTTATCTAGTGGTAGCTATTCCCATTCCGCAAATTCGCGTGCAACTTCTGCACCACATTACAACGATTTACCGCGGAATCAACGCTATTGATGCCGCCTTCTGCTGCCCGTGTATAAACAATTGCAACACCTATTTCATATTCGGTCTCAGTGCGAGTATCACCCACATTTTACCACTTCAATCCTAGAAGAACTTTTTATAAATTTACATTTAGTATCGAGCCTTCATGAGTATTAAATGACGCCCATGAGACAAGTCGTACGGACAGCCTCCCTGCACCTCTGTGTGGAAGCTAACAACCCGACAATATTCCATTCCTATTAAGAGCGCGACATGACCGAAATATTGCCTTTTTTCCAGAAATACCGAATCAAACACACCAAATAAGCAGGCAGGTGGAGAACTAGCGATATTGTCAGCAACGATATCCCAAATACAGGGAATTTTAGTAACTACGTCCTAAATTTGAGTGTCTGTGCACTCAAGTGCTGACCTACGGCAGCATGCTGAATTGACAAATTTCCAATTACGGAACTTCCTTTGCCGAAGGGCTCAGGAGGAGTGTAGATGGGACATAGAGGCGGGATTTATGTGTCTACCATGGCAGGGAACGCCAAGGTAACCAAAGCTGTTCAAATGTGAGAATTGAGGATTAGCCAAACAACTAAACCGCACTGGACGTTTCATACATTGCACACCAAGGGAACCGGGGCCGTACGGCTGTGAGAAGTCAGTGTTGCCCAAACGCCGAAGCCGCACTGGACGTGTCATGCTTCGATCGATTGCTAGACGGCTTTCACGTAGGTGAAAATGTCAGCAAATGGGAGCTCTGCGAAATGGCTAGTGGCTCGCTGTTCTTGTAACTGGAAAGAACAGCCTGGCTCCAAGCAATGACCCACGGGTTCCGGTTGATATCGCACTACATGACAAAAGACAACCGCGACAAGAGCCCTTATAGCCTCATGAATAGCCTCTAGCAAAGCCGGAAGCTTTTACTGGGCTGCTTTCCCTTCCAAAGGGAATCCTACTGCCAGGAGCAGTTTTAAAGATTACAGTCTTGTTCGTTTTACCGTTTCCATCGCGTGTGTGTTACAGCTGAATATTCACTCTTCATGTGTGCCTAAAACGAATACTTGACTGGACTTTACGTGACAACGCTCATAGATTTCACTCTGCCCTGACTCAATTGTGGCACCATTAAACAGCACACCTATTTAGTCATGAATGCAACTATTGCCCTCACAGTCAGATAATTGCTTGTTGTACAGATTGATCCTGTCTTCAGTGTTGTTTCTCGTGTGAAATTGAGGACGTATATTTATTTATTTATTTACTTAGATTTACAGGAAATGTGTGAATTCGAAAAGAAACAACACAGATGGACATAGCAAGCTGGATTATCTAACCAACAGCTTTATTTGTGGCGTGCCAGAACTTGCTTCCAACGATAGTCATGAGACTGTTAATCACGATTTGGAACAGTGGCGGTCCATTGGTGAAACACTTTTCTTTAACAACGTTGTGGTTCGATCGCTCAAATGCTACATCTCACCAAATTACAGAGGAAGCGGACCAAGAATCTTAATGCCATGGTTTAATCAGAACAGACAACGCGGAATTGTTCGAATGTTCGCGAAAACATCCTAGAAGCTTTCTATCTGAACTTCGTTTTAAACCTGCTGAGACCTTGCAAAGACCAGACATGTGCCTACTAGAATAAGCAAGAGTAGGTAGAAGCGTCACTTTACCACTCGGTCACGCTATTCTTCAGCATGTCCGGACGAGGAATGGACGTAACTTGGTCAAATCAGTTTGCGAACGACGTGACGTAATCATCCTTCAACAAAACGATATATGGCCGATTTCACATCGGTCGGTATTCTAACAAACTTGATTCCTTTGGTTCCCTGTGGGCTCCGAGTTAACGAGAAACTGTGCTGCCTTTATATAAATGCTCAAGGCCATTTCAATAAGGTGGCTGAACAGAAAGATCGCCAAATTTCGAGGCTATGCGGTATTATCGTTGTCACGGAGAAATTGTTGCACACTGGGATGATAGACGCAGAAGTCTCGCTACCGGGAATGTCGCTCGTACGAAACGACAGACTTACGGAAGAAGCAGGGTCAATTCTCTATTGCCGAACCAACCTAGAGTGCGAGGCCGTCGGGGATTCCGACTTACAGTTCGCCGATTCTCATTGGTGTCGTCTGCAAGTACATGGCGGAGACACGTTTATTCTTCCTTTGATATACGACCCCTATACTCAACACCTGAAATCGACTCCCAGCTTACGACAGCTTAATGATGCAGCCTAAAGCGAAGGCACACTCACATCTTTATCATGGGTGCTTTCAATATGCTTTGTTTAGAAACTCCTGCTACAATCGGAGAACCATTCAATGAAGATCTACAAGAGTTTATAACCATTGTTCCACATTACCATCCCGGCATTACGCCCACTCGTTTCAGCACAGGTAATATTCTATCTTTGCTGGATTTTGTTTTCATCAAAGTGGAAAATATGATTGGTGTATTGATCGTAGAATGCCTATTTGGTCACAGTGACCATGCAATTATCACTTTGACTTCATCTGCTATGCGGAATATCGCAAACAGTACACTGAGTTGGCGCGTACAAATATGCACTACGGCAGCTTAGCCCAGCTCGTCAGTGTCACAACCTGGCCCTTCCTCCCTGAAGGCTACCTGGAAGTCGCTTGGCTTGAATTGGTCAGTAAATTCAATTACTTAATTACTGATGCCTCAGAGAAAAGGGTTTTCAATTAGCCTAATACCGTTTCTTTCGTGAGGAGCAGAACTAGAAAATGAATGATTATACTCAACGCAGCCTAGCGAGATTACAGACCACCACCAGCGCCAGATAGTTAGAAAACTTGGTAGAACATCATAATCCCTTCACTCAACTGATTAGCGATGACAAGGTCGCATATCAGCAGAATATGGCGAAAACTCTCAGCGCTAATCACAAACTGCTGTACGAATATGTCAACGGACGTCGTAAGGTGAGGCATGCATTCCCCCTCTCCGTACGACTGATGGTCTAACTAGAACAGCCATAGAAGCAGCAAACGCGGTGCAGACGAAATTGGCTCATACATTTAGGAAGGTCTTACAATCAGGCCGTCTTCCAGCTTTTTGTTTCCCTCCGCCAGGACTAAGTCACATCTCTTTTACCGTCAAAGCTGTTTGGCGGATGCTAACTCCTCTGCGCAACCACAGCTCCATGGGAGTCGACACCCTTCTCCCAGTAGCA